ACACCTTTAATTCCAGCACTCGGGAGGCAGAGGCAGGCAGATCTCTGTGAGTTCAAGACCAGCCTGGTCTACAGAGCTAGTGCCAGGACAGGCTCCAAAGCCACAGAGAAACCCTGTCTCGAAAAACAAAAAACAAAAAAAAAAAAAAAACAAAATAAAAAAAAAAGAATCGTTCTATTGACAGAACCTACCCCACCCAATTAAGCTGTTAATGGAGAGCTATCTGTTAGCAGAACCCGCCCCACATTCCAAACTATCTAGAGAACTAGGTGTGTCAACTCCTGACTTCTTGGCCTACCTACCAACTGAACGTAACCTCCTTGCCTGTGTGACGAAGGTGAACCACGTGACCTGGACCACACGGCGAGATCCCCTGCCCCTGCCCCCCAAGCACCTCATCCAGGGGCTATATAAGCAGCAACCAGGACCCTAATAAACGGAGGCTTCAACAAATCTTTGCCTAGCCTTCTTCCTCTTTCCTAGCTCATATCTTACAGATAGCACCTCTCCAGGACCCTGGAATAGCTGAACTGCCAGGCGGGTTACAAACCCTACACTAAGTAACCCACCCAAGGCAATCTACATCTGCCAGGACAGCCAGAGCTACACAGAGAAACCCTGACTCAAAAACCCAAACAAAAAGAGAGAGAGAGAGAGAAAGAGAGAGGTTGATTTATGTATGCTTATGTATGCTTTGTTGCTTACATGAGACTGAGTTAACTATCACGAGAAAAGTTTTCACAAATTTGTGCAGTGCTTAACTAGGCCTAAAATAAATTACTAGGGGTCAGACTCCCAAAGTTTGGATCATTACCAGCTACTTCCTTCTGGCCTCCCTCCAATGGTCAACTTGCTGGCTGTGGAGGTCACGAAGGCAACTGCATGTTTGCATGTATGTCTGGTGCCCATGGAGGCCAGAAGAGGGATTGGATTCCTGAGAACTGGAGTTACAGACGGCTGTGAGCTGCCATGTGGGTGCTGGGAATGGAACCTGGATCCTCTGAAAGAGCAGCCAGTGCTCTTAACTGCTGAGCCATCTCTCCAGCTCCCATTTTCTTGATTAATAATTGAAGTGGGAGGGCCCATCCCACTGTGGGTGGTGTCAGCCCTGGGCAAGTGGTTCTGGGGTACTTAAAAAAAAAAACAAATTGAGCAAGCCAAAAGCAGGAAGCTAATTGTTAATATTCCTCCCTTGGTTTCTGCATCAGTTTTGCCTCCGAGTTCCTGGCCTGACTCCCTCAGTGACGGGACGTGACCTGAGAGTCGAGTGGAACTAAGCCCTCCTCCCTGAGTTGCTTTTGGTCATGGTGTTTTTCACAGCATGAGGATCCTAACTAAGAAAAGAGACTAATTCCATTCTTCTATATGTGGCCATCCAAGCAGGGCAGTGGTGGCGCACGCCTTTAATCCCAGCACTCAGGAGGCAGAGGCAGGCGGAGCTCTGTGAGTTCGAGACCAGCCTGGTCTACAAAGGGAATTCCAGGACAGGCTCGAAAAGCTACAGAGAAACCCTGTCTCGAAAAACCAAAAAAAAAAAAAAAAAAAAAAAAAACCATGTGGCCATCCAATTTCTCAGCACCATTTGTTGAACAGACCTTTTATTCTCAAAGCATGTTCTTCACACAATTGTCAAACGCAANAAAAAAAAAAAAAAAAAAAAAAAAAAACCATGTGGCCATCCAATTTCTCAGCACCATTTGTTGAACAGACCTTTTATTCTCAAAGCATGTTCTTCACACAATTGTCAAACGCAATCTGTGGGGCGGAGATGTTTCTTGGAAGAATACTTCTGGTAGAATACTCTGCTAATGCCTGAAGTTCATGGCTTCCCTCTCCAGCACTGAGGAAGCTGGTAGCCCATGCCTTTATGCTGGGGGGGGGGGGGGGGGGGAGGATCAGGAGATCGGGGTCATCCTGAATTACATAATGAGTTCAAACCCAGCCCGAGCTACATGACACCCTGTCTCCAAAAATCAAAAAGAAGCCTGTGGTGGTGGTGGTACACACCTTTAATCCCAGCACTCAGGAGGCAGAAGCAGGAGGATCTCTGTGAGTTCAAGGCTAGACTGGTCTATAGAGTTCTAGGACAGCCAGGCCTACCTAAAGAAACCCTTTCTTAACTCCCCCCTCCCATCCCAAATAAAAGGAAGAAAGAAAAACAGTCAACATCAATTTTGGGCACCCTCACATATGTGTACGCACGTGTACACACAACCACAGGATAAAAATACAAAAACAAGTATGGTAGAGAGGGGGTAGAGGAAAGCACTTGATGCTAGCCTTTGAAGCCCGTATATGAACACAAAGGGCACGTGTACCTACACACTCATGTATACACACACACACACACACTCCAAAACAAAAATAATCCTTAAGAAAACCCTAAACTTCCTGAATGTATACAGGACTTCTTCTCAAGGTCTCTCCTTTCATGTTCCCAACAGATCCTGGCTGATGCCCTATGTTCTGGGCAGGAAATAAGACTGCCTGCTGAGGAGGAGACCTTCTCTGAGATGCTGAGCAAAACTTCTGACTGTGTGTCACTGATGACCAGAAGTCAAGAGTTCTGCTAAGAGGACCATGCCCCTTTGCTGTTGATGCACCCTGCTCCCTGTGTGTGCCTGGCCCCTCTCACAGTGCCCTTCCACCTGTCAACACAAAGGTGAGCGAGCCCTCGCCTGGCTCTGTCCAGGACAGAACTTCCCCAAAAGGGTTAATACCAGAAAAACCACCCAAGACAGCTCTCCAGTTTCTAGCACCTTCCCTGCGAAACTGGAGGAGCCTGGCAAAGCCACAGGTCCTTTCAGCCAGAGCCAGAGTTCTGCAGTTCCCAGAGGGGGCTCTTGAGCTCCAGGGGACAGTTATGGTGACCTTAAAAGGAACAGAAGCAAGCGTCTCATAGCCTGTGCGGAAGAGGCCTGTGACACAGATGAGCAAAGACAAAGTGATGCAGGGTGCTCGCTCGCTCTTGGGTGCTCGCTCTTGGAAGCACTGGTTCCTAAGTTTGGAGGAACTAAGTTTGGTTCCTAGACCCCTTCAAGAAGTGCAAGAAAAAGCCAGAAAATAGCAGACGCACCCACGGGTGTGCACTTCTGATGCCCCCAACTTCTGTTAGCTTGGCTATGGCGTCCTGCCCAGATTAGCAAACTGTGCTTTGGGCACGGATTCCAGAGATTGGTCCTGTAGCAACACCCACACACTCAGCATCCCTGTTGGAGCCCTGCGTGTCAGTGGAAGAATTTGGGAACAACCTAAATGTCAATCAGCTGGACAGTAATGAAATTGGGTGTGATATTTAAACTATAAATGCTCAGCCCAGCCCTTGGGAAGAGCACAGAAACTCTCAGACATAGCGACACATGGTTGTAATTCCAGCACTTGGGAAATTAGGCCAAAGGATTGCCATGAATTCTAGGCCAGTCTGGATTATATAATTGAGACCTTGTCTCAAAATAATAATAACAACAACATTAATAATTGGGGCTAAAGTTTAAATTGAGGGCCAGGCAGTGGTGACACACGCCTTTAATCCCAGCACTTGGGAGGCAGAGGCAGGTGGATCTCTGTGAGTTTGAGGCCAGCCTGGTCTACAGAGCGAGCTCCAGGATAGGCTCATAAGCTACAGAGAAACCCTGTCTAGAAAAAAAAAATTAATTGTAAAAAAATGAATAAATGTTAAAAGTTAAAAAAAATAAATGAATGAAACTGCTTTGCCACCATTAGGGCACAGTATGCCAATGAATGCAAATGGATTCAATTCAGAACAGGAGCGCTGGGGAGCTGGGTTGTGGGTCTGCGGGACATGCATACTGAGCATGCGTGAGGTCCTGGTCTGATGCCTACCACCACACGGACACACAAGGAAGCCTTGAGGTGACATACAGAGACCTGCCTACAAGTGGGATCTATGGACCCGGAAGCAGGGAAAGAGCTACTGTCTAGGGTGTGTGAGCCCAGACCCCGTTAGGAGATTTGACACACACAGAGGGACCTTGGCACAGGCAGCATGGATGGCCAGCATGGCCACCTCCTTCCAGGAGTCTATGAATATCCCAGGACAGTGTCCAAACAGGGCAGACTTTGAATTGGAAGGAAACAGAAGCCTCTCTGTCTTTGCTGGACTCCTGAGTTCAGTTGTGGTTATACTAAACAGAGCAAGAGCCTGGAGCCCAGGATGGTAATTCTCAGCCCACGCTTCCCTTTGGAGATTTTACACGTGATTTTTTTAAATTTATTTTTATTTTATGTGCATTGGTGCTTTGCCTGCATGTATGCCTATGTGAGGGTGTCTGGAGTTACAGACATTGTGAGCTGTTATGTAGATGCTGGGAGTTGAACCCGGATCTCTGGAAGAGCAATTAGCCCTCACAGGGCAGTTCACAACCTTCTGTAACTCCAGTTCCAGAGAAGGAGATCAGTGTCCTCTTCTAGACTCCATGGCAACTGGGAACAAGGGCTCCACAGACATACATGTAGGCAAAACACCCAGGCATATAAGCTTTTAGGGGAAAATAACTAACTCTTAATTTGATTAAAATATATGCAAATAAGAATGCAGATACACAACAAAGCTTTTACACAGCAAGTGTAGCTTCAGAGGTCAAATTCCCAGACTGTCTAGGAAGAGCCCCAGCGACAGCTCCCGGGGCAAGTATGGCATTCACAAGTAGCTTGTTCTGTTTTCCTCTCCACTGACCTGCTCTGAGCCTCCCTGGGAACCTCTTTCTCTTTTAAGCATTATCCTCCTCTAGGAGTAGTAAATGATTATGTGGTCATTGACCTATTCCTGTTACCACAATGTAATCCTGCCTTGTTTTTTGAGACAGAGTCTCTCACCAGGACCTGGAGCTCACTGATTTATCTAGGCTGGCTGGGATTCTCCTGTCTCAGCCTCCCCACCACTGGGATCACAATTTGCCATACCTGGCTTTTTTGTTTTGTTTGTTTGGTTGGTTTTTTGTTTGTTTGTTTGTTTGTTTTTCCGAGACAGGATTTTCTGTGTACAGCCCTGGCTGTACTGGAACTTGCTCTATAGCCTAGGCTGGCCTCAAACTCACAGTGATCGTCTGTCTCTGTCTCCTGAGTGCTGAGATTAAAGGCATGCACCACCACTGCCTGGCTCATTCCTTGCTTTTAAAAAATTACATTTGTGTGTGTGTGTGTGTGTATGTGTATGTGTGTGTGTGTGTGTGCGTGTGTGCGTGCACGCACACACCTGCATACCGTGCCACACATGTGGAGAACAGAGGGCAGCTGGCAGGAGTCAGTTCTCTCCTTCCGCTCTGTGGGTCCCAGGGACTGAATTCAGGTCATCTACCATGTCAGCAGTGCGTTTAGCTGCTGAGCCATCTCGCCTGCCCCACTATCACTTTCCACGTAGGTGCTGGAGATCAAACAGGTGCTGTCACGCGTTAGCACTTTCCCACGACTGAGCTAGCTCCTCAGCGCCCTGCATTTTTATTCTCTTACTGTATTTTGGCTCTGACAATGGAAGCAAAATGTCTGTCAAGCAAGATGCCTTTCTCTAGTCTCCACACAGATTCTCTCTGAGCCTAATACAATCCAGCTGCCAAATTCAAACAAAACAGAGTTTCACTATACAGCTCTTGGTTGGCTTGGAACTCACAGAGATCCCCTTGCCTCTGCCTGCTGAGTAGCATGGTGGATTAAAACAGTTCACCTCCATGCCTGGTCTTTCTTTGTTTTTGAGACAGAATCACAGGTAGCCCAAGCTGGTCTCAAATGCGATATTGAGGAGGATGACCTTGAGCTATCCATTTATTTATTTATTTATTTATTTATTTATTTATGGTTTTTCGAGTCAGGGTTTCTCTGTGTAGCCCTGGCTGTCCTGGAAGTCACTCTGTAGACCAGGTTGGCTTTGAACTCAGAGATCTGCCTGCCTCTGCCTCCCAAGTGCTGGAATTACAGGTGTACGCCACCACCACCCAGTGAGTGCTGGGATTACAGGTGTATGCGACCACCACCCAGTGAGTGCTGGGATTACAGGTGTGCCACCACCACCCAGTGAGTCCTTTAATATAATAATTTTTAAAAATTTAAAATTTTGGGCTGGAGAGATGGCTCAGCGGTTAAGAGCACTGGTTTTTCTTCCAAAGGACCCAATGTTTCAATTCTCAGTACCCATATAGTTGTTCATAATTGTCTGTAACTCCAGTTCTAGCAGACCTGACATCTCACACAGACACACATGCAGGACAGTCACCACTGTATGTAATTTTTTTAATTACAAAAAAATTTTTAATTTTATTTTTCTAAGTATTGTTGACTGAGGTTTCTGTCCCGCCTAGTCTCACAGCCGTTCAGCCCCAAAGAAACATACAGAGGTCTACATTAATTATAAACTGATTGGTCTATTAGCTCAGGCTTCTTATTAACTCTTATAACTTATATTAGCCCATAATACTTGTCTGTGTTAGCCACGTGGTTTGGTACCTTTTTTGGCGAGGCAGTCACATCTTGCTTCCTCTGTCTGGATGACAACTGCAGACTGAAACTTCCCTCTTAACAGAATTCTTCTTGCCCCGCCTCTACTTCTTGCCTGGCTACTGGCCAATCAGCCTTTATTTAAAATACAAGTGACAGGGTACAGACCATTGTCCCACAGCAAAGTACCAGTGTTTTGACTTCATGTACGCATGCCTGGTGCCCACAGAGGTCAGAAGAAGGTGTTGGGGCCCCTGGAACTGGGCTATATGGTTGGTTGTAGCCCCCCCAGGCCTTAGCACAACTGACACCATGATGGAAGAACCATTCAGGCCTTGGAACGCAGCATATGGGTAGCAATACCTGCCAGATGCGAACAAAGACCTAATCCATCAAAGCCCATAGTTCTGAGAAAGTCCCTGAATGTGCTAACCTTGCTTTTGGCTTCCGTAGTTCTGCTTCTGGCCAACTGCTCTTGCTGAGGTGTGTCAACCCAGGATATGACCTAGGGCTTAACAGCCCACCCTGAGAAAGACTAAGGACTGCATTCGGGTCTGGAACACCCAGAGTAGTCTCCAGCTGGCTGATAAAGGTTTTCTATTTGCTTGTTCCCATGTCTGAGTGGTCTTCTCTGGTGGATCCCTCACAAGAGTTATGAAACACCATGTGAGGTGCTGAGAACAAAGCCCTGGCCCTCTGCAAGAGCAGCAAGTGTTCTTAACTGCTGAGCCATCTCTCTACACCCCAACTGCCTCTAGCACCCCAGTGCTGGGATTACAGGATCTACGTGCTCAGTTTAAAAAAAGAGTTACTACAGCGACATTTTAAACCCCTCTTCTCTCATGGAGGACATGGTGCGTCTCTTCTGGGTCTCGCTGAGTCAGATCTAGGGCTTCATTCCAAGAAAGCAGAGAGCAGATTCCTCTGCTAAGGAGCCTTTGGGGGGTTGGGGGGATTCTGGGAAAGAAATTGGATCAGTGGATACCCATGCTTCCTGAGAACTAAAATGTCACCACAGCTCTGGGCACCTTCTTCCTACCAGATCAGCCAACTGGTCTTAGGCTTCCTCCCACTGCCTGGAGGAATCGGTTTCCTCAGGATTTTCCAGCCCTGTGGCTCCTGCTTATGGACTGCTGTGTCCTTTTCTGTCTACCTGTAGCTAAGGATCCCAAATTTCCCAGAGGAGCAGAACCCCTAGGCAGGCCAGTCCCCTACAGTTGCAATGTTAAAGGGTTCTCAGGCCAGGTCCCCTCACAGGCCACCCTTGGTGCTGACCCTTGGTGGAACCAGTGGTGTTCAGGTCGGTTTAAGCCTGATGGATCCTTCCAGGAGGAGCAGCAGGCATGGCAGGCCCTCAGAGAACCCTCAAAGGAAAGCAATTTATCTGACTGGCACCTTGTTTGACCTGTGTGGTACAAATCTAGGCAGCCATTCACTGGTGCCGCCGTCCTGCTGCGCTCCGAGGCCCAGTGAATCCTCAGCTGCTTGCCGTCACTATTTTTATCTAGAGTCCTGCCTAGGAGATTGAGATCAGCTTCTTAGGATGCACACTCCACCAGCTGCAAATTCCCTGGCTGCTCTTCCGCTCTCTCTTAGGCCTCCAGAATCTCTCCAGCGCCCAGACAAAAGCTGTATTGAAATCCCCTCTCCCTTCTTCACTTCCCTCATCACCAGAAAACAAAACAGACAATAAATGCCAAGGCTCCTCAGAGACCTTCTCTACAGAGGGGGTTGTCATGGGGCTCCTGAGAAATCTGGGAGTTGTTACTCCCCTTCCTTAAGGAATGTCAGATAAAGTGGGGAGGGTTGGGGACATTTGGTAACTGGAACTCAACTCGAGATACAATGTAACCAGCTTTCTGCTTGGCAAACTTTTTCCTTCTAGCTACAAGCTTGTTCTGGAGAAAAAACCCCCGGCAGAAGTAGGTAGCTGCCACAAATCCTGAGGCTGCAGCTCTTAATTCTGGGGCACTTCTGGTCTTGAACTAGAAATGCAAATAAATGGACTAAATTTCATGCTGAGTATAACATCCAAATCCAGGGAGCAGGCCAGCTTCATCTCAGAAGAGTTCCTGCTGAAAGGTTAGGGGATGGGGAGGCAGGCTGCCTGAACTGCAAGCCCCTTGCCCCAGCACTTCCACCCTCACAAGCATCCATAGCCCGCTGGGGGGTCATGAGTAGCAATGTGGTAATAGCTCCAGTCCCCAGCACCAAATAAATAAACAAATAAAGCAACAGAAACTAGAGATGATGAGGGGTGGCAGCCCTGGACTTTGTGACAGAGGGACATGTGAACAGCACGGTGCCTGCTAGGTAATCAAGCTTCCTCAGTCACATTATCTGGCTATGGCAGATAGAGGGAGAATTTCCTCATTATCTTGGGTTCACCTGAAACCCTGGGGGAACCCTCCTCTCAGCGGCTCGCGAAGGGCAGCTGTTGTGGCAATCTTTAGAATGCTGAGAAAATGGAGGTGAGCTCCGACAGAGGTGGGAAGAAGACTGTGATGATCTGTTGCGGCTGCTATGGTGAGGTCCCAGTCTGTTGATAGTGAAAGACCCCGGTGCTGGGGAGACTCTCACTCAAGTCTCAGGATAACACGACCCCCCCAGTAACTCACTTGCTGCAATCACATGAGGCTTTAATTGATGAGATGAGACAGGAACCAGTGCACTGGGGCCGAGACTCATAACCCGTGCAGGGGAAGAGTTCGACCCCTAATGACCCGGAGGTTGTTTTTTTTTTTTTTCTTTGAGACAGGGTTTCTCTGTGGCTTTGGAGCCTGTCCTGGAACTAGCTCTGTAGACCAGGCTGGTCTCGAACTCACAGAGATCCGTCTGCCTCTGCCTCCCGAGTGCTGGGATTAAAGGCGTGCGCCACCACCGGGCTGGGAGAAGGGGTTTTTAAAGGAAGAAACCACAGCCCAATAATCCGAAAGGGGCAAGGGAGGGTGTCACAGAAAGTCACAAGGGGACAACTCCCTGCCTCAAGATCACTCAAGGTCATAATCAGCTAGTTCCTAAAATCACTAGGGGGAAACTTCCTGTGTTTTAAGATGATAATCTAACTTTATCTTCAGGTAGTTCCCGAAACACAGTCACTGAACCTGCTAATCCTAGCTTTTTGATTCTTTTTCTGGTTGGATTTTTGGCTATTTTCTTCCTGCTTGGGGGGGAGCGGGGGAAGGTCTGGATTTATCCAGGTCTTTCAATAGCAGCCACGTGGAGCTGGTACAGCTCTAGCCGTGGTCTGTAAGTTTGGGGGCATCACACACATTTCCAAGAAAATACCTGCTGTGAAGCAGGGTCCTGGGAGAATGGGGCAGAGCTCTCTGGTACCCTGATAGGCATGCTTTCCTCTGTAGCCTGCTGAGATAGATGGCTGAAGTGGCCTCTTGCTGGTCCACTCCCCCATCACCTGCCCTCCCCACCTCCGTTGTCTCCTGTAAAGGGACTCAGCTCCCTCTACTTTTTGCTCCATAGCTTCTAATCTTCAGGCTTTCCAGCATCAACTCCTCCTCCTAAGGCCCTTCACTCAGGGCCCCTGGTGATACCTAACTTGACCCTTTAAAACACTTACCATGAGCCTGGC